CCGATGACGGACCCGCCGCCGGGCGAGCGCAACCACGCGCTCGCGCAGACGCTCGCGCTGGCGCTCGAGTTCGGGTCGCTGCAGTGCCGGGGCCGCTGCCGCGCCCTGGACCGGCACCTCGCCAAGGCCGCGAGCTCGCCGGCGCTCTGGCGCGTCCTCGACGCGCGCGTCGTCTACGCGCGGCTCGGCGCCGGCGCGAACGCCTTCCTCGCCGCGACGCTGCTGCCCGTCTTCGGCGCCGCCCTCGAGGAGGTGAACTTGGAGCTGTGCACGCGCTGCGACGACGCCGTGCTCGACGCCGTCGCGCGGGACGCGCCGCACCTGCTGCGCCTCAACCTCAACGCGCTCCACGGCGTCAGCGCCGGGGCCCTGCGGCGCGTCGTCGCCGCCTGCCCGCGCCTCGAGGTGCTCCAGCTCTACTGGCACCCGAAGCTGCCCGACGGCGTTTTGGAGGTCGCGGCGGCGTCCGCGGGCCCCCGGCTCCGCGAGGTCAACGTGAGCGGCTGCGTCGCGCTCACGGACGTGGGCCTCGCGGCGCTGCTCGACGCGGCGCCGCGGCTCGCGAAGCTCAACGTGACGCGGTGCCCGCGGCTCACGGACGCGACGCTCGACAGGGTCGCTAAAAACCTCGGGCCGAGCCTCGAGGAGCTCGTGTGCTACGCGGACAGCGGCCTCGCGCGCTACGACGCGCTGGGCGGCGGCGCCTGCCCGAACCTGCGCGTGCTGGACTGCACGGGGAGCCGGGGCCTCACGGGCGCCGCGGTGCGCGCCGTCGCCGAGACCGCGGGGCCGCGCCTCGCGAGTCTGAACTTGTCCTGGTGCGTCGCCGTCGACGACGAGGGCGTCCTCGGGCTCGCGGACCACTGCCCGAACCTGGAGCTCCTATCCCTCCACGGCTCGACGCACGTCTCCGACGCCGCCGTCGACGCGCTCGCCGCGTCGCCCGCGGGCGCGAGCCTCGCCGCGCTCGACGTCAACGGCTGCGTCCGCGTGACGGACTACCTGCGGCGGGACGGGGTCCTCAAGCCC